CTGATTAAAATTTTCTGGGTTTAGTTTTGGGGTTTTACCAGTCGTGGTGACTGATGGGACAAAGTTTTGTCTTTTCCATGTGGAAGAAAACACGATATCTAAATTAAATTTTGCAGGAAGTTTACAATGGATTATGCCCTAAAAAAAAGTATTTCCCTCCTTAGAATTTAAGAGATGGACAATTTTTTAGCTGATATAAGGCTAATTTCCTGGAAAAGCTGAGTGTTCTGGAAATAACCACTAAGGTTATTTGTCCTTTCTGAATTACCACGTTTTACAGGGAAATTCTCTGCAAAGTTTGGAATTTCCACAGAAAATTCACTAATTACATTGCTCCTTTTGGAACTGGATCCGATTTTAACAGGGGCTTTGACTTTTAGGGACACAATCATCCTCTAAATAAGTAAAAACTGGATAGTGTTCAAAATCTAAACCTGTTGCCTTTTGTACCAGTGCAGTTGTTCCTAGTCACACTGGGTGTGGTAGGTCTTGGACTACACTTAGGCAAGGGATGAATTTCATATTCCCTACTTGAATTGGGGAAGCAAATACCTCTCAAAACCTGAACATTTTGAGCCTTTCCAAATAGGTTTGTGGGAAGAAAATTCTTTTTTTAACTGGATGGCATATTGGGTTGCATCTGTGTAGCTGTTTATGTGTATAATTAACTTTTCAAAGACTTTTTTAAAAGAAGGGAAGACATGCATGAAGACACTACTTTTGATTAGTAAAAAGAGTTTGGAATTGTTTTTGGTTAAAGAACACACAAATGGCAGGTTATATATATTGTTGTTAGTTTGCACAGACCTGTCTTTAAATAGTCTATAAGAAGAAGGGGGGGAGAAATGGTGGAAGGACAAAGATCAGTTGGGAGAGTAGATTTGTCAAGGGAGAGGAGGGAAAGAGGTGGAACAGAGAAAGGGTTAGACAAAGAGGGGTAGGGAAGAAATGCAGAAGGAGGAGGAAGGAAATGGTGTATGGGAAAAACCACTTATTTCTGTGGGACCCTAATTGATATGCCCTTCCAGCTTGACTGTGATAACTGATAACTACTGTCTGGGAATGGTTTTCCAACCAGTTATTCATGTGCCTTATAGTAGCTCCATCAAGGCTGTATTTGTTTATGAGAAGGTGATGTGAGACAGTGTCAAAAGTCTTTCTAAAGTCAAGATATACCACATCTACTGCTCCCCCTTATCCACAAGGCTTGTTACCTTGTCAAAGAAAGCTGTTATGTTGGTTTGACATGATTTATTCTTGACAAATCCATGCTGAGTGTTACTTATCACATTATTATCTTCTAGGTGTTTGCAAATTGATTGCTTAATGATTTGCTCTATTATTTTTCCAGATACTGAAACTAAGAGGACTGGTCTGTAATTCCCTGGGTTGTCCTTATTCCCCCTTCTACAGATGGGCACTATATTTGCCCTCTTCCAGTTCTCTGGACTCTCTCCCATCTTCCATGAGTTCTTGAAGATAATCACTAATGGCTCAGATATCTCCTCAGTCAGCTCCTTGAGGGAAAAATGTCCCTTCCTGACCTCTGCCAGTGGCCAGCTGAACCCCTGAAGCATGAGGTTTAGGAACATAAGATCTAAACCAGAAGTGAGCCCCAGGGCTGCTGAGCCCTGCCACCCATCATCACAAATAACCCCATCATACAATCATATTGTAACAGGGGGCAACTCACCACCGCAGCACCTACTCCTGGCTGTCCTGGGAATTAGCTTGGGGTTTACCAGTACGCCCATGTCTCACCCATCATCTCATCTGTCTCCATGACCCACGTCACTCCCTGGACCGGGTCGTCCTCTTCTGGACACAGCCTTCTGGTGGTGTCCCAGTCTGTCCCTTCCCCCCTTCCAGGGGACTGACAGTCCTTAGTCCAACCACTTGCCTCAGTGGCAAACTGCAGTCCCAATTCTAGCTGCTTGTCTCAGTGGCAAACTGCAGTCCATTGACTGGCCTCTCCCCTCAATGGCAAGTGGGGCAAGGTGTCTGGGGGGGACCCTATAGCCAGCAGACACATACTGCCTCTCCTCCAACTCTGGCATCTCCTTCCCTGGGCCACTCGCCCGCAGCCCTAGCACCTCCACCACCATTGTATCAGGGCTCAGTCTGGCAGCGGTCAGCCAGGAGCTCACTCATGCTCCCTGCCCAGCACTGCTCTGTCCATGGTGCTCCAGCCTTCCCTCACCCTTCAAGGAGTGACAGCCCCTTCTTATATGGCCCTGATTGGCTGTTCCAATAAAACTTCTCCTGATTGGCTGGCACTATAAGCCTTTTCCTCATTGGCTGCCTCCCATGCAGCCTCCTCAAGGTGGCTTTAACCTCTTACCTACCAGTGAGGGGCAGGCGCCCCATCACACACACTCATACATTTGCCCAGTACTTCCTTAAAGCTACAGAAGCTGTTTGCCCCCACAACGGCTGTTGGGAGGCTGTCCCAGCCACTCACCCCTCTGATGGTGAGAAAACTTCATCTAATTTCCAGCCTGACTTTGTTCATGGCCAGGTGAGAGCCACTTGGTTTTGTGCTAGGCTTGTCCTTTAGCTTAAATAGTTCTACACCCTCCCTAATATTTACCCCCTAATATATTTACAGAGAGCAATCATAGGCCTCCTTAGGCTTCTCTTTGCTAGAGTAAATAAACCAAGATCTTCCAGTCTCCTCTCATCAGGCAGGCCCTCCATTCCCCTGCTCATCCTAGCCGCTCTTCTCTGCACATGTTCCAGTTTAAATTCATCTTTCTTGAACATGGGTGACCTGCCTTGTCTAGCTCAAATGAGGTCATACCAGTGCCTTGTGTAAACGCATTAATGCTTCTCTATCTCTACCGGAAACTCCTCGCCTGATGCGTCCTAGAGATGTATTTGCCTTTTTCACAGCCACATGACATTGGTGGCTCATAGTTAAGGCTACATTTTAGTCACGGGTATTGTTAGTAGGTCATGGGGCCCTGGGGGCACTGCAGGTGCTGGGAAGGGGTGGGCTGGGGGCGCCACAGGTACTCAGGGTGGGGAAAGCCTGTGGGGGCACTGCGAGTGCTCAGGGGGGCACGGTCAAGGGGGGCACTGCTAGTGCTCGGTGGGGGGTTGCAGCCCGGGGGCAACACAGGTGCTTGGGGGCGTGAGGGTTGGCAGGGCTGGGGCAGGTTCCCCACCCGGCTCTAGGGAAGCAGCGACCTCCAGCTCCTAGCTCCATGTGCTGCCTCTGCTCTGCCCCCAAGCCCGGTTCTGCAGCTCTGATTGGCTGGGAACCGTGTCTAATGGGAGCTGCAGGGCCGATGCCTGCGGTGGAGGCAGCATATGGAGCTAGGAGCTGTGGGAGAGGAGTTCTTGTCACCCTTCTGGGGAGCCCCCCCCACCCCCCCCCAGGTAAGCACTGCCACACACCCAATCACCAGCCCTGAGCCCCTCCTCCTCCCAAAAAAAACCTCCTGCTGCCGGGAGGTGCGGCGGGGGGGGGCAAGACTGCTCCAGCAGTAGCCAGTGCGACTAGCCCAGGGGCTGCCCAAGCTGCTCAGGCGGCTCCCGGGCCAGCCACACGGGCCGCTGCAGAAGTCACAGAGGTGAGTGACAAACATGGAGCCTTACTCATAGTCACCTGTGATCCACCAACACACCCAGGTCTCTTCCTCCTCTGTCTCTTCCAGCCACGACTTGTAGCGGATATTCTTATGATCAGACGCTGTGTGTGAGACCTTTCACTTTGTACTATTGAATTTCATCCCGTTTCTGTCACTCCAGCCTTGGAGGCCATTCACAGCCGTACGATGTTCTGAACAGGCTTTGTCCAGTACCTGCCACTGCCTAGTTCCCATGCTGCAGGGGGAACGCGCTGCCCTCAGGGTTGGAAAATGTCTCAGCGGGTTCAGTCCTGATGGGGACGGGTTTGTGTATGTGCTGTAATAAAGTCATAGAATGACTGATGATGTTCCCAGCATGCGTGTCTGGAACGTCTGTCTGCAGGGAAAGCACTAGGGGGAATCAAGATGTGGAATGAACTAAAGTCCCTTCCGGACTCTCACTAGTTCTCTCTCTCACCCTGACAGGCTGCAGAATAACACCCCCATTCAGCTCCAGTTTGTCCCATCCTCCAAGGAGAGGAGGAAGGGAAATGGCTGCAGAAGAGCAGGCTCAGGTAGGGATACCAAGGGAGTTGCTGGTGCGTTCCTGCTGGGGGGGGGGGGGCAGAAAATACATAGGTGGGAAGTTCAATCTGGAGGTGGGAGGGGGCAGGAAATACCCAGGGTCATAGGCACTGACAGCCAAACAGCTGGGAAGGGCTTGGGGGAGGGCGGAGAGCAGCAGGTGGGCGGGAAGAGGAAAAGGAAAAGTCAGCACCTGTGCAAAGGGTGGAGAAAGGGAGGGGAACAGTGGGTGACAAACCTGCTGGAACTTGTTTTTACTTGGGGACTAGATTATAGGAACAGACCCCTGGGGGTTATGGTGGAAATTCCTTTTTTGTGGAACAGGAAACAGATGCCATGGACTTGGCTGGGATAACTTACCAAACTGCCAGTGCTGGAGCATAAACCTACTAAGTGGAGGCTGCTCTGAGATACGAAGAAGTTACTGATCAGAGGGGCTTAGGGGAGATGCCCCATTCCCTCCCATCTAGCTGCTGGCAATGGGGAGGAGGTTGGGATTCCTACCAGGGGGCCTGGAGCCTTCTAGGGACCCATCTCCTGCATCAGCCTCTGGCTAGGTGTGTAATGAGTGTGAAGACCCTGCCAGCCTCTGTCTGCTAGGAGGGAAGTGGGACTCTTTTCCTCCCCTCGCTCTGATGCCTCCTGGATGCTCTGAGCAGAGTGGGACTCTGTGCCTCCTTAGGCTTCCAATTAATTGGGCCTGCTGTGTCATGAATAGTGGGGCTGGGAGTGGAGCAGCAGGTACTGAGTGTTGGACTCTTGCTCTTTCAGGGGCCGGTGACCTTCGAGGAAGTGGCTGTGTATTTCACCGAAGAAGAGTGGGCTCTGCTGGACTCCGCTCAGAGAGCCCTCTACAGGGATGTCATGCAGGAGAACTGTGAGAATGTGACCTCGCTGGGTAAGGATTCCTGTCCCCTTTGTGAGGGATAGCTCAGTGGTTTGAGCATTGGCCTGCTAAACCCAGGGTTGTTAGTTCAATCCTTGAGGGGGCCATTTAGGGATCTGGGGCAAAAATTAGTCTGGGAATTGGTCCTGCTTTAAACAGGGGGTTGTACTAGATGATATTCTATGATTAAAAGTAAATGAAAAGTGAAGGTTCACGCCACGCCCACAATGCAACCTGAACTCTTCCCCGTTTCAGCAACACCCTAACATGCCAACAACACACAGATTAGCGCTCTCCCCTCCCCTGCTACAGAACACCTTGGGAACGGAGCACAGGGGCAGTATAGCACAAAGTCTGATATCGCAGAATTGCAAAATGTGACCAGCCCTTTAACCTCACTAGGCCCTGCAGACCACTAGCATGTATGCCAACAAATTACTGACAGACCCATAGCAAGAACGCACTCTGTGCGCCTTTACTAACACAGCCTACAACACTGACCCCTGAAAGGAGGCATACACGGTCCACATGCACTTCGCTTCATATGACAGTCACAGCTCTGCCATGCTATTCCAAGTAATCCCTCTCCTGTCCAGTTACAGCAACAGCTGGCACAGTGCACACAGCTGGAGGGCATGCAGATAAATGCTGGGATTCCCGTCTGTGGAACAAAACACAAACAATAGCATCTTCCCTTAGTTCTTCCTCGTATCGATTATAAAGTCACCCATTTTATGGCCAGAAGGGAGTATTAGGCCACCTTGTCTGACTGCTGTAATGAGCTGAATAGCTTGTATACAACTAAATCATCCTCTAAAACAGCAGTTGTCAAACTTTAGCAACCCAAGGACCCCCATTTTGATTTAAAAATTTTCATGGACTCCCAAGCCACCCGCTCAGCTCCAGGCCCCGCCCCCACTCCACCCTTTCCCCCGAGGGCCCACCCCTGCCCCACCTCTTCCCATCTGCACTCCACCCATGCCCCTCCTCTTCCTCACCTCTTTCCGCCCCTTCCCCCAAGTGCACCCCATCCCCACTCCTCTCCCTCCCTCCCAACACCTCCTGCACGCCGCTGAACAGCTGTTCTGCAGTGTGCAGGAGGCCCTGGGAGGGAGAGGGAGGAGTTGATCAGTGGGACCGGCAGCCCCAGATATGACTCGTGGACCTCCTGGAGTACTAGTCCGCAGACTCCAGTTTGAGAAACCCTGCTCTAGAAAGTTGTGACCCGAGGTGCTTAGGGTAGCCCACACTGCAAATGCCAAGGTCAGTGCAGGCTGCAAAAAGAACAACAGATTCTCCCAGAACTGGTGGTTAACACTGTGGTTAGATCCACCAACCAGCCACAAACTGTCAAGAAGCTGAAAAAAAGAAATCACACAGCCCCCTTATTGCATTCCAGGCTCTGGCTCCCAGTCAGGAAATAGATCCGGTAAAGTGAGAAGTTACTTAAAACTCGACTCACTATACAAAATGTTCTTCTGATCCCCAAAGCATCAGCCACATTACCAGATTGCTGTGATCCCTCGCCCTCCAGCGGGGTTGGGAGACCACTCTGCCTCATCAAATTGGGCGGTAACCCTCGGGCTCAGGTCACACCAGTGGCCCTGAGCCATAAGTAATCTATAGTTCTGGGCCCATCTGACAGAGGCAAACAAGCAACAATAGTCTGGTGCTCTTGTCCCCAGCCTCGGGTGCAGCAGAGCACTGCATAGTCCTTAGCTTGCAGCCCTTCAGTTTAACAATCTGGAGCTCTAGCCCATTGGGTGAGGCAGAGCAGGCTAAGGCAGCCAGCAAACCCTCAGTTCTGAGTTCCAGTAGGGATGAACTCCCCCACGGTCTAAGGGATCCAGAAAAGATGAGCACCCACACAATCTTGGGGCTTTGGAAGGAGTGAGAGCGTCCTAGCTTGGTGGATGGTAGATTCACACAGGCCTTCTGGCCTATGGTGGGGCATCGGCCACCCCAGGGGTGGGGAGGCAGGGGTAGGGGGACGTGGGCCCGCCTGACTCTACTGCGTCCAAGCCAGGGCCCTAACAGTGGCGAAGTGGTCTGCCACTGGGTCAGTGGGGATCCAGCCGCAACATGCTGACCTAGAAGCAGTCAGCCACATAGCCACACAGTTGTTGGCTGCCCCCCTGTGGTTTGGTACCTCTGAGATCCACAGGTCCTCTGGGTACACAGTGGATGGTAGTCCCGACAACTCCCCTTCTGGGTCTGTCTCCTCCAGGGGCAAGGTGCTGCAGAGTACAGATTCAGCTCCCGGATCCTGCAGCAGCGCAGAGGCATCCGTCTCCTTCCCTGGCTCCCACTCAACTGAGCTGCAGAGCCCTCACTTTATACATCCTGTCCAGCCCTGGTACTTCCGGTGAGGGGGGCGGGGCGGGTTTGGCTCCACCTACCAGGGTGAGCATAGTGATCCTTTGCTGTCCAGTCCAGAGGGAGGCCACTCTGCCTCGCTACACAGATCAATACTAGTTTGGATCTTACCCAAAATACCACGCTGCCAGCCAAGCCCTATAATGGGGTCGGCACCCGCCTCTTGCGAGAGCCCCCTTCTGGTCGGGTGTGAGCCTGCTGTTTTTGTTTGGAATACGGATGGCACCTACTTCTTGCAAGCACCCCCTCCCCTCCCCCCAGGCCAATGGTGGGTCTTCAGTCACCCACACTATCTGTAAGTGGAGCAAACAAACAAACCCCTTCCAGGGAATAGAGTCTCTACCTTCTTTCTCAAGGCCCTGGCATGAGGCCGTACCACTAAGGCTTCCTTCCCAGACACACTGCCTTCTATAACAGTCCGACAGGGGCCCATCACGGTACCCTTGGTTGGTGTGTCCTTTTCGGAAGCACTCCTTGGTCTCAGTCTCTAACCAGACCAACAGGGCCCATCACAGTACTCTTGCTTGGTCTGGCTAGGTTCTGGACCCAGATCTTATTCTCCTCAGCCAGCCATTAGCAATTTCTTAGCTCCCCCGGTCTACACCAGCCTTCCCTGGGCTCAGTCCAGCACACACTGAGCTGATCATGGTCCTACTGCTCTTCCAGCCAGCCAGAAACCCAGTCATAGAATCATTGAAGATTAGGGTTGAAAGAGACCTCAGGAGGTATCTAGTCCAACCCCCGGCTCAAAGCAGGACCAACACCAACTAAATCATCCCAGCCAGGGCTTTGTCAAGCCGGGCATTAAAAACCTCTAAGGATGGAGATTCCACCACCTCCCTAGGTAACCCATTCCAGTACTTCACCACCCTCCGAGTGAAATAGTGTTTCCTAATATCCAACCTAGACCTCCCCCACTGCAACTTGAGACCATTGTTCCTTCTTCTGTCATCTGCCACCACTGAGAACAGCCTAGTTCCATCCTTTTTGGAATCGCCCTTCAGGTAGTTGAAGGTTGCTATCAAATCCCCCCCTCATTCTTCTCTTCTGCAGACTAAATAAGCCCAGTTCCCTCAGCCTCTCCTCGTAAGTCATGTGCCCCAGCCCCCTAATAATTTTTGTTGCCCTCTGCTGGACTCTCTTCAATTTGTCCACATCCTTTTTGTAGTGGGGGGCCCAAAACTGTATGCAGTACTCCAGATGTGACCTCACCAGTGCCGAATAGAGGGGAATAATCACTTCCCTCCATCTGCTGGCAATGCTCCTGCTAATGCAGACCAATATGCTGTTCACCTTCTTGGCAACAAGGGCACACTGTTGACTCATATCCAGCTTCTCTACCACTGTAATCCCCAGGTCCTTTTCAGCAGAACTGCCGCTTAGCCAGTCAGTTCCCAGCCTATAGCAGTAAATGAGATTATTCCATCCTAAGTGCACTTGTCCTTGTTGAACCTCATCAGATTTCTTTTGGCCCAATCCTCCAATTTGTCTAGGACCCTATCCCTCCCATCCAGAGTATCTACCTCTCCCCCCTGCTTAGTGTCATCTGCAAACTTGCTGAGGGTGCAATCCATCCCATCATCCAGATCATTAATGAAGATGTTGAACAAAACCAGCCCCAGCACTGACCTCTGGGGCACTCCGCTTGATACCGGCTGCCAACTAGACATCGAGCCGTTGATCACTACCTGTTGAGCCCAACGATCTAGCCAGCTTTCTATCCACCTTATAGTCCATTCATCCAATCCATACTTTTTTAACTTGCCGGCAATAATACTGTGGGAGACCGTATCAAAAGTCTTCCCTCTTCCAGCTCCAGGCAACAGCTGACTGCTCTGTGTCTGCTGCTTGTTTTTTATATGGCCCTCCTGGCCCCTGGTTGGTTGCTCTTGCAGCCCCTCTGATTGACTGCTTCTCCTACAGCCACTCTAGGTTGCCTGGAGGACTTCTCCTCTTCTCTTTTCTGGGGTGGGATGAGGCAGGGCCGCAAGGCTTCCAGCCCGGGCCTCCGGACTTAGTCCACCCTGTCACACACGCATACAATGATGAATTTTGCCATGCATCGTAACTGCTGATTTCAACTGCCATAGCATTCAGTGGGACTGTACAGAGAACACTGCTGATGGAATCTTGGTTGAGACGTGGGCAGTTGTTCATTAGCTGAGCCTAATTCATGACCCAAAGGTACTTACTCCTTTTAACAGTGGCCGGTTGAAGCATCGGTATAATAGCCCTGATCTAGTGCTACATGAGTTGATATATATAGCAAATTGGTGTTAGACTCAGTTCTAAGATCACAACACCACCCTATTTGAATTGAGGTAATCGATGCCGTCATTCCCATCATTGTTCCATTCCAACATCGCTTCAACTTCAATAGAGCAAACTCACTCTTCAGTGAGTGCCTAAATTTTTGGCAGAACTTGATAGAATCCTTAGATGTGATTAAGGTTAAGATTTTGTCATGATTATTTTTAGTGAAAGTCACAGACAGGTCGCAGGCAATAAACAAAAATTCATGGGAGCTGTGACCTGTCTGTAACTTTTACTAAAAATAATGGCCAGTATCTGGCTGTGCGTGTTCCCAGCAGACATGGGGATAGTTAAATCCCTCATTAAGCAGAGTATCCTACACATCTGAGAACCGAGATAGGTGGCCCCAGGCTATTTTCTGCTTTAAAATAGTCTGGAGTTAAAATAATAGAACATGTTATTGTGACAAATGTCCTATGAACTCACCTGATCTCACTTGTTTTCTTTTCTCTGAGCAGAGTTTCCAGTTTCCAAATTTGATGTGATCTCCCAGCTGGAACGAGGAGAAAAGCCAGATGTCCAGGGCTCAGATGAAAGAGAGATCTGGAAGGATGCCTGTCCAGGTGAGGAATCATTAAATCAGCTCAAAAGATGAAGGAAACAGCTGGGATTCCCTACAAAGACCCTTGTTAGCTCTCTGAGTTCAGGAGTCATCCTCATAGCCGATATCACTCATGGCTTCCATCCCATAACGACAGACCTCTGGTCGTACTTCCCAACTTGACCTTCCCAGATGGGTTGTAGAAACAGATTTTATGCCCTCTTCTCTCCTGTGTGGGGAAGAATTTGGTGGGATTCTGATCCTGATTTTTTTCTGACTCTGTAGCATTTATTTTGGTTTGCTCTCCCCTTTCCCATCCCTGTTTCTGAGGATTCTCCCTCTATCCCAGCAGGTGCTGGGATGTTGAATGAGAACAAGGAGCAGAATCCTCAGCAGCAAGATGCTGAGCAAGTGGAAGCACATGCGGGATTATCACAAAGATCCAAAGGGAATGTGTCCTGGCATCATGTGGAGGGAAAAGCCTGTGAGAGTGACCACAGGCCAGAGAGAGAGCAGGGAAACAAGACAGGGGAGAAAATTAGTAAATCCATTAATTATCAGGAAACTCAGAAGGAAACCACAGCTCAGAAGAGACTCCTCACAGGAGAGCGAAACAACACATGCGCTGAGTGTGGGAAAAATTTCAGTAGCCACTCACACCTTATAGAACATCAGAGAATTCACACAGGGGAGCGACCCTACAAGTGCTGTGAGTGCGGGAAAAGCTTCACTCGGAGTTCAACCCTTCTTAGGCATGAGAGGGTCCACACAGGAGAGAGACCCTATCAATGTTGTGACTGTGGGAAAACCTTCAGTCAGAGTTCATCCCTTATTACACATCAGAGGACCCATACGGGAGAGAGACCCTACGAATGCCATAAGTGCAGGAAAAGCTTTGCTCGGATCTCAACTCTTGTTATGCATCAGAGCACCCACACAGGAGAGAGATCCTATGAATGCTGTGAGTGTGGGAAAACCTTCAGTCAGAGTTCATCCCTTATTGCACATCAGAGGATCCACACAGGAGAGAGACCCTATGAATGCCGAGAGTGTAGGAAAAACTTCAGTAGCCGCTCAGGGCTTTTTGACCATAAGAGAATCCACAGAGGGGAGAGACCTTATGAATGCTGGGAGTGTGGGAAAACCTTCACTCGGAGCTCACACCTTATTACACATCAGAGAATTCACACAGGAGAGCGCCCATATGAATGCTGTGAGTGTGGGAAAAACTTCTCTCAGATCTCAGCCCTTATTAGACATCAAAGAATTCACACAGGAGAGAGACCCTATGGATGCTGTGAATGTGGGAAAAACTTCTCTCAGAGCTCAGCCCTTACTGCACATCAGAGAATCCACACAGGAGAGATTCTCTAGAGATGCTTCTTGTGGGAAAAGCTTCCATCAGAGCTCAGCCTTTATTTATCATCAGAGAATCCACATGGGAGATAAACACCATAAAAACCTTATCTAGAGCTGACCAAAAATAAATTTCTTTAATACTTTTGCTAATTCCCACATAGGGGCCTTTCAGGCTGTTTGAATCATTTACATTACCATGGTCTCTCCAATCTATCCAGTGAGCTTCTGGCTTGGGCCTCTTTTTGCCTCTCGAGGTCCCTTCCTTTCCTACAAATCCATGACTTTCTGTGGAAGTTATGTCCAAGTACAAGATGGTTTGGGAAATTATTAAAGTGATTCCTCTTATAACAAAATTGTTCTCAGTGGTGGCAGATGACAGAACAAGGAGCAATGGTCTCAAGTTGCAGTGGGGGAGGTCCAGGTTGGATATCAGGAAAAACTATTTCACTAGGAGGGTGGTGAAACACTGGAATGCGTTACCTAGGGAGGTGGTGGAGTCTCCTTCCTTGGAGGTTTTTAAGGCCCGGCTTGACAAAGCCCTGACTGGGATGATTTAGCTGGGAATTGGTCCTGCTCTGAGCAGGGGGGTGGACTAGATGACCTCTTGAGGTCCCTTCCAACTCTGATATTCTGTGATTCTGTGAAAATGCTGGCTTCCTAGATATACCCTCACCTGTTCACTTAGTTCTGCGGTAAAGGATCTGCCTTTTAAACAGAATGCCAGATGAGTTCATCTTTATTGCTAGCAGTTTCACTGTATTGAATATTCTTGGAAAAATGTGACCCGCTTTCTCCTATGGCATGGAGTATATAAAAATATAGACTGTTCTTGTAGTGGAAAACTTTGATATCAACTACATAAGCAAGAGAAGTGCCAAAAAAGAGGATAGCTATTTAGCAATTTCGTCATATATTCTCTTGGACTCGGGAGGTGGTGGAATCTCCATCCTCAGAGGTTTCTAAGGCCCGGCTTGACAAAGCCTTGGCTGGAATGATTTAGTTGGTGTTGGTCCTGCTTTGAGCAGGGGATTGGACTAGATGACCTCCTGAGGGCTCTTCCAATCCTAATCTTCTATGATTCTATGTGTTAATGGGCCATGTTAAGGCATTGCTGAAAGAGGGCAGAGTTAATGTGTATGTGCAACCTTAATTGTGCCTTTCCTTATTTTCACATGTTTGAGTTTTGCTGAAGTTTAGGTTCTGCAAGGGGTTGATATCCTCCCAGACAACCATAACTGTGTTGATGAAGGTTTTTGCCCTTTAATTAATACCAGGGGTAGAGGCCCTGGTTGCCCCCTAGATATTAATGAGCGTGCAAAGTCAACACCAGGACTAAATGCTTAGGAATAAAATAATGATCATCCCCGTGGGCCACCACTCCTTTAAACCAATCAAGCCCCAATCAAAGCTTGGAAGGGGACATTGAAAAATGCATAAGAATTTTTTCTCTGTCTGAAAGACAGAGCTCTAGGCTTTACTTTGGAATTCATTAACGATTAGCCATGCACCCTTTCATTTATAAACACGGCCCATTGCTGAGATCTCCCAGGGGTTTTAAATTTAACACCCAACGATTTGATGATCTCTTTTTATTTCCAAAATTTCAACTCAGCACCTTTGTCTCCCATGTCCTCTGGTGGCCTCACATGCTGGCCACAATACAAGCCTATGTGGTCTCTTGCAGTATATGTGCTTGCTGCAAGGCACAGCCCAATAAACCCTTTGGACTCCTGCAACCACTTAAGACTCTACCGGGTCCCTGGACAGCCATCACCTTAGATTTTGTAGTAGAATTATCCAAGTCCAATGGGTTCATGACCATTCTGACAGTAGTGAACCACCGCATAAAGATTGGATAGTTCATCCCCTGAAGTGGTTTACCAGACTCCCAGGAAATTGCCTGGCTCTGGGTGGTATAAGTTGTCCACCTCCATGACCTTCCAGAACACATCATCTCCCACTTTTGGTGAGAAGCTGTCTGGATTTTGGATATGTAATTCTCCCTCTCCTCTGCCTACCACACTTAGATGAATACTTAAGTAGTGAGAACCAACAAGATCCTGGAATAGTGTGTTCGATGCTACATACACTTCCACCAGAACAACTCGTCCTTGCTGCAGCCTCAGGGAGAGCTTGTGTACAGTAATGCAGAGCACAGTTCTACGTGGCAAAGCCCTTTTATTTCAAACAATGAGTTCCGCCCTTGGTTCTACCTGGAATTACCTGCAACTTCCCAAAATGCAGCAGCCCTGGACTGGATTCAACACAAACATCAAACCTGAGATGGCATAAAAGTTCATCTGGAGGACACGAAGAAGATCTACAAACAATATGCAACCCATTGAAGAGAAGAGGGCCCTGCCATTATGCTAGGCCAGAAGGAATGGCTCCTCATGAAAAACCTACACAGGAACAGGCCAACTCGTACATTGGATTACCAGTTCTTTGGGCCCTACCAAGTAAGCTGGCAAATTCACCCAGTCACCTTTGAATTCAACTTACCCCATTGCCTCTGCATAATCCTAGTTTTCCATTAAACACTTCTGAAACCCCACATTCAGGACCCATTCCTTCATCATTCACAATCCCCCTCCCCCCCACGATGCATACATTGTTCATTATCTGTTTGATACCAGAATCAGAATGGGAGAGCTGCATTTGAGTGGCGGCCTGCAGCTGGACTGGCTGCCTGCAGTGGTTGATCTCCAGGCCCAACTATGTGTTCCCACCTGCAGTTTTATGCTTTGAGCTAAAATGCTTCAGTGGGGCCATCAGAGAGGGAGACTTACTGCACAGACCAATTTGGCAGGGGTAAAGAGCAGGACTGCAAGACTACCCATATTGATGACTTGGGGCTGCTAGAGGTTAGTGGGGGAAGACTTCACTTGTGTGTATGGCTGCAAAAAGGCCTCAGGATGCTGGAGGGAAAAGGGAGGACAACATGTGGGCTAGGGCTGTGTCAAAAAAGATGCACGCGTCCTGCGGATTTTCCTGCACTTTTGAATGCCTAGCTTCTATTCCACACCCATTTGTTTCCCTTCTTCATAAATCTGGGCAGTTCAATTGGTTGAACCCAAAACATTAATCTGAAGGTCTGGGATTCAAGCTCTGGGATTTTTTTCAATGTGCTTTGTGCACAAGGAGCTAAAGGCATCCCTGGAGAATCCTTCTTGAGTTTAAGTTTCTCCTAAAGCCATCTAGAATCCTAGGATGGGATCTTTGGTCCACAGGACTCAAGGGACAACTTACTTATTTTCCCATAACTGTAGGAATCTGGAGAAAAAAATACCTCTGTGAGTGTTACAAAGCGGTGTGTGCCGAGCCCTTCAGGAAACAGAGAGGCAGGGAGATAGGAGATGGAGGCATTGAGAAAGTAAGGAATAAACTTATCCCAAGAAAGTGTCCCCATCAGAAGTCTCCAGAGTAAAGCATAGCAGATGCTGGTCCCATAGTATAAGGATCAGTGCTCAGGGCTTGGAAACATGTGATTGGAGTGTCTCTCAGTTGAATGCTGTGGTATCTATCTGCCTTGAATGAGAGTTCAGGGGGTTATATCATGCTCTCCCAAATGATGGACAAGCCTGGGTTTTGCCTGTCAGCTACTGAGACTTAAGCATGAGAGGGAACAATAGCTCCCAAAGGTTGGCCATGAGTAGACTCCTGTGGGAAGGGGTACGAGCTGGATTTCTGCTGAGCCCTGCACCTCAGCTGGATGACAGGCCTTGCAGGCAGCCCTATTGTTTGACCTACTGGGCCAAAGTCATTTTGGCAGTGGTGCCATTGGTGTTGGTCTTTCCTCAGGAATGATGGGGGGGGGGGGTCTGAGGGAGGGAGGTTTAATACTCATCCCATTTGGTCAGGGATGAAGAACAGGGCTGCGAAAGTTTCACAGGTTGATGAGCTGGGCCTTCTAGAGTTTGGGGATGGGTGGACTTGACTTGTGTGTGGGGCTGCAAAAATGCCTCAGGGCACTGGAGAGAAGACAGAGGAGTGGACATAGGGTAGGCCTGTGCAGAGAAAGATGCAGCCTTCCTCTGGTTTTCCCCCTTTCTTTTGCCTGCCTAGTTTCTCTTCTACATGTTCTTGGTTTCTTCTCTTATGAATCTGGGTAGATCAGTTGCTAGAGGAGCAGACTTTTAATCTGAGGGATTAAGATTCAAGTTCTTGCTCATACAGTTAGTATTTTAATATGCTTCATTCACAAGGAGCTTGAGCCATCCGAGTAGGAACCTATTTGACTTTAGGTTACTCCTCAAGGCTTGCAGTTTCCCAAGAATGGCCATTTGGTCCATTGGAGTGAAAGGAAAACTTCCTTACCTTCCCATTACACTAGGGGTATGGAGGAATAAAGCCAGGTGCAAAGCCTTCAGAATCCATAGAGCTTTTGGGATTTGGGGTATTTTTGATGTTTCTGGAGCTTTTGCAATTAGAGGGAGTTACAGAGGCTCTGGTGCTTCTGAAATTTCAGGAATTTCAGGGAGTCCTCTGTGTGAGAGGACTCCCCCAGCACTCACGTTCACACCCCTGTAGGGAGATAAATCCAAAATAATACTGTCTTGCACTGTATAGAAAGATCTGCACAGCGCAAGCTCATAAAAATCCGCCCTCTTCCTCAATGTGAAGAGAGATGTGCATGATTTCTTGCCCCCCGCAGTTAGAAATTACATAAACTGGGTTTAATAATCAAAAATAAGTTTTTATTAACTACAAAAGGTAGATTTTAAGTAGTTCAAGAGATAGCAAACAGAACAAAGCAGATTATTTAAGAAAATAGACAAAAGCCGCAAACTGAGCTTAACACACTAGATAGGTAGGATACAAATTAGCAAATTCTCACCCTGAGTGATAAACAGGCTGACAGATTCTTAAGGCACAAGTTGCCTTGGCTTTTCCAGGTTTTCATACACAGGCTAAAGATCTTAGCCTGGGATCATCACTTCTCACAGTTCAGTCTTTGTTCCTCGGGTGTTTTCAGGTGTGTTGTTGGAGGGAGAGTGAGGCCCCATCATGTTGTCATTGTCCCTCTTTTATATCTTCCCCTCATTTGCTGAAAAGCTTTCTTGCTGTGACGTGGGTCAAACAGTTCCCATTGTGTAGAGCTATCTCTGAGAGGTTTCTATTACACACAGTTCCTAGGATGATCCTTATGCTTGTATGCATTTCTTCAATAAGCCACTAACATTGTTTGGCCTCATCCAACGTAGCACATTCAAAATACAGAGACATGGTCAATATTCCTAGCTTCAGATACAAAAATGATACATGCTTACAAATTGGATAAACACATTCAGTAAATCATAACCTTTTCCATGATACCTCACATGAGCCATCTTGCATAAAGTATATCTTAGTT